GATTTTTTGTTATCACGTCGTAATAACCGGTGATTGACTCAAAAATATGAAAAAAATCGTCGGCATAAGCGAATTGTCGTTAAAAGCGGAGACGTACTAAGCGGAGACTCTTTCATATAAGTTTATATGGGACCAACCAAGACAATTTTCGTCGACATAACCGGTTGGATTCTAATGTATTAGAAATTGGCACATCTTTACAATGTTTTTTATTTGATTCAAAAATATGGAGTAGTTTTTTATTTTTATTTTTAATCAGGGTCGAAGGTGACGTGTCGAATGAGACATTTTTTTCCACCATACTTTTTTTTTAATTTTTTAGTAATTGTAAAATGAAACAAGTAAGAAGGCTCCAGATGAAACTGCTCGACTGGGAAATACCCGGAACCTTCCAAACTGATATTCTACTCATTCTGCACTTCTTTTATGCACACATGCATACACACGCATCCACACGCACGTATATCACACGCTCTGCTGACTGCGCAGTTAGCAGCGACTGCGCTTGAGCTGTGCTGCAGTGTGGGCAATATTATGAGAATTTATTTTTTGAATTATTTCTTTTGTAGACATACGTCTTAATGAAACTTTCAAAACGTAATCATATGGTCAGTATGTGTGTACATTCCAAAGCACAAGTCTCTAGTACTTGAAATGCGTTTTTTACAATTTGGGGGCGAAGGGGGCGTGGTATCTAAAATCTGTAAATTACAAAATTTGTATCCATTAACTTTATATACAACCCAAATTTGAAGTCTATAGGTCTAAAAATGTTCAAATTAGGCTGAAAAAACAAAGCCGATTTTTCGATTATTCTCGATAACAACGTTATTGGATGAGTTATCGAAAAAATATGATAAACTTGTACTACCTATGGTATACACGAGTATGCATGCCAAATTTCAGCCCTCTAGCTTTTATATCTTCTGAGATTCTTTTGCTCATACGGACGGACGGACAGGGCTATATCTACTCAGCTCGTCGTCCTAATCAAGAATATATATACTTAATTGTAATGAAATAGAGAAAATTCGAAGTATCATATTGCATTGCATAGTGTCTCAATAATAAGAAAAAAATGTGCAATAGAAATGCTCAAAACAGAACTTTTGTTTAGTTATACAAAATATGTTCGCGGAACATGATTTCATTGACTTTGAATGTTTTGGCTGCGGTTGACCTTTCGGGAGAAATGCCCATATCCAATTTTAAATTTATTAAATTGAAATACCGATGATTGGTTCCTTCAATTTCTGATTGCTATTTCAATTTTATTTTAGTCACAATGGACGAATCCGATAAGTCGCAGCAAAACATGATATCGAATCTTCCGCTGCTGTTCGCAAATGGATATCCGACATCTTTAGAGAAAATAACTGAATCTCAACTAGAGAATTTTATACCATTCATGGTGCAATGCTCTTTGGGACATATAAACCTACCAAAAAAAATAGACTGCAGCGAGCCCGAGTGGTGGCCGGAAAATGCATCCTTTGGCATTCCGTTAAAGAAGCCAAAAAACTTCGTTGGAGTAAGTTCCACATTATTCCTTGTGCTAAATTTATGCTGTAACAGTTTTTGTTTATTTCAGAGCTGGATAAAAAAGATGAAGGAGATTGTAGTAATATGTTACAAATTTCATAAAAGTCTATTTCTGTTACGGTTTTGTAACGACTTAGCTGCTTATGAGCACGCAAGCTTGAGGTTTATCAACAACTACAATTCCACTACATCGCTATACGACAGACGAAATAATAAATTACTGGTTACATTTCGCAATGAAAATATGGTAAGCTATAGTTAATTGATTTGAAAACGAGTGCTTTAGTCGATAGTGCTTGCGATTAGAGCCTGCATCCAAAGCGACATCAAAACCACTCGGCAATATATTTAACAGTATATATTAGTGCTTTTTCTTCCAATTTACTTATTCTTCCAATTTATTTAATTTTAGTCTTATGATCGACAGCAAAAAAATAGAAAATGTTTGTTACTACACAAAAACAAGACCGACCTGCAAGGAGAAGACTCAAACTATATGATGGTTGAGCCGCCGCCGTTCGACATTTATCTGTGTGACAACTGTGATGCTGAATTATATTCCAAGGAAGCAATCTTGGTAAGTGGAAACTATATCCATGTTGATCACTTCATAGTTTAACCTTTTTCTTTATGCAGGAACATGAAAAAATGTGTATTATGGAGGATGATGTAATTTTATGCGATTCGCCCGAGCCGGAAAATAAAATTGAAGTTAAAAATGAAAACGCAGAGCTGCGAAACGCTTTCCTTCTCAATTTTTGTCTTCAGTCTAAGACGGCCAGTTGCAATTACTCTAAGAAAATACAAAGAACTAACACAAATAACGAAGAATTGGTTACAATGACTTCGAGCAGAAAAAGACGCATATCATCGCGAAGGAATCGAGCAGTCCCGTCGCTTAACAGATGTTCATTTATACCAATATCATCTCCCGCTGGACAGAAATTGTTGTCGTCAATAAAGCAGACAATATCAATGGAATATGTATTTGAAAGACAGGAACGCTTAGATCGCTTTTGTTATACACCCTTATTAGTTAAATCAAATAGTAATCATAAAATCTTTGAGAAAAAGAGTTGTACAAATAACATACATGTAACGTTTAAGAAACTGCAATATTTTAGTTCACACATCTATACTTTCCCGCGAAGACAGTTTATACAACGTAGGGACCTTACTCAAAACTTTTTGTTTTTAAATTCACCATTGATTAAAAAATGCCGTCCAATTTCGGTCAGATTAAAAAAACTGACTGATAATAGCGGAGAGCAATTTCCTATAAATAATACTAAGCTAAATATTAGATTAACACGCGATACTTCACTTAATTCCCAATGGAGGATTTCACCATCCAGCGAGGTGATCGTCGACACAATTGATTTGTGTTCGTCAGATGAAGATGATCAGTCAATTTCCTCTTCAAATAAAGCAAAAGCAAATAAGCTTGCGTTAATGTCCTTAACAAATAACAAAGAAATCGCTGTCATCCAAAAGAATCATTCAACGGAAACTGAATGGAATCCTCTACCCGAATACTTACAAACAACAGATGACAACTCGCTGAAACCCCTTAAGCAATCGGTTTATATTTTTTCCAATTACAAGACTAACTCGGAGCTTAACACATTCAGTCTTGAGCCAAGAGCCAATAGTTCAGCAAAATCGTTAGTTCCCTCGAACGCATTATCACACTCCCACAATCAGGAAAATTGTAATTTATCAAAGAGGTTAGTGACTGTTTCTGAGTGGCGTGCCAGTTCAGAAAAGACGGAAATAAATCAATCAGATACCATTGCTTTTGAAAATATGGCAGGTTTGCAATCCTTTAACACATCTGCTAGAATTGTTTCCATTGATTTAACAACGTAAAATTTACTGCTAAGTTTATATAAGTAATATACTATTGTTATTTCGTAAAATAAAGTTTGTAAATATCTAAGATTTTCCAACAAACAATTGTTTTTTTCTTCGATTTTGATTCGAAGATCACCCATTGGAGATTTTAGTCGCGGATTTGTAAACCCCAAACCTCAAGATCCAGCGCACTGTAGAAAATGCATAAACTCGTCATTTGGGTTACTCAACTTGGAATGAAAATCGACAACAGTAACAATATTTTATTTTATTTCATAAATTAAACCTTTTTTACATTCATAGATAAAAACATAAATAGTTAATTAAATATATGCTATTTTTTGTGTATACGAACTTACTACGAAGACTCCGATGCACTTGGAAGACTTATGGTTCGTTTCGCATAATGATGTGGCCTAAGTGACTGTGTGAATAGTTTATAAAGTCAATGAAAGTGATTTTTAAATTTGTGAATTTTGTTACTTACTTGATTCGATAATCCTTTTTCCCCAAAAAGAAGATCATCACGCATAGCTGTTCGCCTACGTACTTTCGGACTTTTGTCGGAAGAGCTAATAGTTAAAAATAAATACAAAATAATAGGGGTTTCTTGATTACTAACATTTCTCAATTGTTCTTTAATAATCCGATAACTCGCATACTGTTTCGAATGATTGGTTGATTGTTGAGTAAACTTCATTTTGATTTAATTGAACCGTATGGACTTCATTTGTTCTTTTATCATGAAAAAAAGTTTATAAAGTTTGTTTTTTAAACAAATTATTTTTAAAAAAGTTAAAAGTTTTGATCCAGGGTCAAGCTACGAGTACAATTAACTCTATTTTCGATTTTCAGGTTCGATCGATTTATTGAAATAAACTGGATCAATCTGCAAACAGACTTAACCATTTCTGACATCTTCGCAGATAACATGTTATCAACGATCCCTGTTAATAACAAGTGATTATACCTATAATATATATATGAGATCTAGACTCGGAAAATCCTTTCCTATATAAATTCAGATAACTACAATAACACTTTAAATGTTTTCGTCAAAATAATTTTAAAGCACTTGAAAAGAATTTAAAAAGATATCTTACGTTTCCATGGATGTGTTGGGTGGCGAACATCTACTTTTGGGTATATGTTCTATCGTAAAAACAGGACTGTCTTGGGATGCAGTGCGGGGAATGTCGTATGTTCCGTTGCTGATTAAAGAATGTTGCGAACAGCTTCGATTTAAATTGCTCAACTGCAGCTTGTCATCCATATTCATCGATTCAAACAGATCCGAAATTTGCACATTTGTGTTGTTCGACAAAAAATATTGCAGCAATTGTTGCTGGATGCTACTTTCATGCTGGGCCTCTTTAAGCAACGCCTCATGCTCTTGCAAACGGCTTTCGATCATTGAAGAATTGCACGTTATGAATATTGCATTGTCAGACAACTTTTGCAGTAAGTATTTTGCCTCTTCAATTGAACTTATTGTGTCTAAAATATGTTGAATTTTATTTGAATCACTGTTTGCAGGATCCTTAACATCTTCGAATTCCATGATAGCCTTTTGTATATGCTCTATATTCTCTTGTATATAGCCAATGTTTGTTTTTAAATTATCTTCTTCGTTTGAGTACTCGGATGCCTTGTCAATATGTTGGGGATCTTGGATTGCTTTAAGCTCTCGGCAAAGCTGCTCCCTCTCATTCACAAGGCGTTCCAGCTCCGTTTCCAATTGACTTATTAACTGCTTGTTTCTGGCAGAATGAACTACGCTACGCGACAAGGTTTCCCAGCGGTGGTGTAATGCTCGTGCCTGTTCGATTTTTGACGCTGTTTGTCTGTTCGCTCTTTGATGTACATTCCCACTGCGTTGGCTTCGGCGAAGTGCGGATACCTCCTCTGTTTTCCGTTTCAAAATTTGTTCCTTTGCATTCATTTTGGCCTGCAAGGTCATAACTGCATTTTTCTGTCGCCTCTGTTCTTTACGTAATTGCGCAATTTCTTGCGTCTTCCTTGTGTTCTCCTCTCGGTGTCGGCTTGTTTGTTCTGATATTTTTTTCATCAACCTTACCTAAAGCAATTAAATTTAATAATTTTAGAAAATAGATTAAAAGATGGAGTAGAGATATATAGCCATTCGTATAGATGATATAGATAATCTAAACAACCATAAAATAATTTAAGTTTACTTACTTTACTACATTTTAGATCATTGAGTTCCATTCGCAAATTTTGCAGCTTTATTTCTTGTGTTTTTATTTCCTTTTGCTGTCGAATATGTTCCTTTTGTGTCTGCTGCAGTTTTTTCAGTTCACGATTCATATCATTTAGCTTACGTTCATACTCCATTTTAACGGCTTTTACATTATCTTTCGGTTGACTAACCAAAGACGATGCTAATAAAATAAAGTATACCACGTTTGAGTAAAATAATAAGACAACATAAATCAATGTCGATTTTTTTTCTACTCATTTTAAATGAATTTATGATATTGTTTGCAACACTTCAGAGAAACTAAGAAACAAAACCAAATACTTACCCATATTCGCCAACACCTCATCTCTTTCCTTTTGCGTGCTAAATATTTTAGATGTTAGGACATTAAGTTTTTCTTCATAGTGTTGCCGCATAACTTGCATCCGCTCTTGAGACAATTCCAGCTGCTCAATCAGTTTTGTTTTTATTTCAATATCTGAATTGATTTCATTTAAATTTTCTTCCATTTCTTTCTCTGCGAAAGTCGATTATAGATTAAAATAATATTTGTTTATAGTAATATTATTAATTTTTACCATTCGAATCACTTTCACTATCTGAAGACTCCAGCTCAGCCATTTGAGAGCCTTCGATTGTTATTCCAGGTAATGATCGCGACATTAGCAATTCTCTTTCCTTCTCTAAGCCTCTCTTAGCTATGTCGATGATAACGTTGGGATCTGCGAAAATATTGTATATTAAATATTGAAATTTCCACTGCATATCTCCTTTCTAACCGTCATATATCGTTTTGTTAACTCGCGGTGAAGTTCCTGAGGAATTATGTTTCTTTAATTGTTGACACATCTCTTCCGATTCTACAAGTTTGGCCCGCAATTTTTCGATCTCGATCAAATAGTTTTCAACCAAGTTTGTGACTGACATATCGGAACTAGGATCTTTTGACCATTCATGCATTTGCTTCTCCAGTTTGAGCTTAGCATTGCGATCAATTAATATATTGATGGTCTCCTGCATTGATTTTATACGCTGTTGTAAACGTTTATTATCGTCCAACAGCATGGAATTTTCATAATATGTATCTGATATTAAGGTATTTCCTTGCGAATCCAATACACGTTTGCCCTGTAAGATATGTAGAAAAAAGAGTATTCATAGATGTCATTTCGATCTGTTTAAAAATTATTATTATATTTTCATTATACCTGCTTATACTCCAAAAGCTCCAATTGCAAGGCAGCGACTTCTCTTCGGAGTAACGATATAGTTCGAGAGCTTTGATCCTGATTGATCTGAACTTTGTTTTTGATATTGCGAGCTCTATTTGCATACTTTAGTGTATTCAATGTTTCCATAAAGTCACGATCACTTGGTGAGATGCAAGCAATCATTAAGGTTTGACTATTACCACCTAGAGAATCTTGAAGAAGACGCGTTAGCTTCGAGTCTCGATATGGTACATGTGAGACTTTCTTCGATTTATCGCCCAACGCTGAAATGCAATTGCCCAGTGCTAGAAGTCCACAATTAATTGATATACCCTCGCGAGCACGATCTCCCGTCGCCAAGGTTCGTTTCAAACGCTCCGAGCCAGCCAAATCAACAAAATGGAATTTAGACGTCAAAGTCTCAAAGTCGCTATCGCTAAAATCAATTTTCGGCTCGATCACATGTTGTCTGCGTACAAATAACGTAAACACTGCATGCGATCGTGATGATAGATCATTCATTTTAGTTGAAGCTGTCGTTCGCGCTAAAGCGCCTTGCTGTAGCAATCTGAAATAAAGTATAATAATGAATTACTTATAAATTCATATATGTACATATATTTCATATTTAGCGATAAAAATATGTACATATGTATAAGGTTAAAATGAATACGCAACGAAGCTAAATGCATTGAAAATGAAAATTAATAATATTGCGATTACTAAATAATATTCTCAGAAAAGTACAAGAAATTTGTCTCCAGTAGCAATTGGGAAAACTATACAGTTCTCTCTTGAATAAAAGACCTATATACCAGAAATGCTCACCTGTAGCTTCGCAGATTACTTAACCAAGCCGGGCTTAGCTTAAAATTACAAACTTTTATTAAATGAGATATTTGAATATTAATCCAATGACGCTCTAGGATTTGCAATGATTTTAAAAGTATATCTAATAAAATAACTTGATAAAACTAAACGACAACTCACTTTAAAGCATCTTGGGGCTCGTTGATTGGCTTAATAGTAGCACCAGCCACAGTTATTTGCCCATTTGCACTTTCATGTATTTTGAAAGTGGAATTCTTGTTAAAAGGATCCAGTAAATCAATAATGTCTTCGTTATACAATTCTATAAACTGAACAGCCACGCTGAACTGCGAATTTGTGGCGGAGGTATCGCTGTCTTCTGGATGCTGCAACTTTTCGATTCCAGCGAATATATGTCGTATCGCGCGGGGTATTATCCCCAATTGATAGTCCCCAGAAGTGTGATCAAATCCAGTTCCCATTGTATAAGTCTTGCCAGAGCCGGTTTGGCCGTACGCAAGGACTGTAGCATTATATCCATGTAAAGTTCCTTCAACCAAGCGCTTAACGCATTCATCATATATATCACTCTAGGAATTGGTAAAATGTATGTATGAAGCATATATATATACATATATTTCTATATGGTGCTGGTAATTTACCTGATTAGAGTCCACATTATAAACATAATCAAAAGTAAACGCCTTATCAGATCCTAGAACTATTTGCTGCTCACCAGGTGTTACTGTGGTACATATTCGACACATGTCAATGATCTCTCTTGAATTTTGTGGACGAATTCTGTGAAATTTGAAAACAATCTCTTATACTCTTATTTGTCTAGTTTCGTCAGGATTTCAATATATAAATAAAGTTTAGCTTACCGAACTGCCACTCGAACTAGGCAATCCTTGTCAATTTCTCCATCCGTAGCCATGTTGAATTAATAAACTTAAAAAGAAATAATACTGTTGAAACATATTAAATACTTAAATTTATATCAAATGTTACAGTCGCACGTTACCAATTACTAAAGAAACTTCTGCGTACAGATCAAATATGAATAAAATTATGCAAAAGAAATCTGTCAATGGCAATAGTACTGGTCTTCGGCCCTTTTCGAAGAAGACAGCAGGTGGAAAACCAGTAAAACAACTTTATTAAATGCAATCAAACCAGCTGTCAGCAGCATAGGCGTCAAAAGTATATAAGAAGTGACTATAAACAAAGTCCTAGCGCTGTAGAAACGATTCTTTATTGACATGGTAAGCTGAGAGAAACCAGCTAAGTGCTTGAATGTGCGCTGACATCAGCGCAGAATTAATAGTTGGCCGACGATGATAAGCATTTCGATGGCAAAACTATCCACTTGGCTGCAGCTGATTTTTATACTCTGTAAAAAATCCCTAAAGAGTGGTGTCAGGCATGCTCATCTTCGATTTTCAGGAGAACTCACATATCGACTGAATTTGTTGCTATACTCAGAAATGACCGGGGCCATTGTTGTACATGGATATTCGGCACTTTAATGATTTTGCTTTTCAGAAAGCTTCAAGTATAGCATGAACAGCATTCTATCTCTTTCTGTCCACCGAATTAGGACTAATAAACAAGCCAAAGATTATTCTTGATCTTAGTGTTTGAAATCACCTTAGTCAATTTATAATCATTACTAATTAATATGTATAAGTACATGTGKGATATTTCATCCTAACACAATTCAAAAATTACAAAAAAAAAAAGATTATATATAATTAAAATAAAAATAATTATTGTATAGAAGAAACACAAAGTGTACAAACAATAAGAAATGAAATGATCATCTACATCATTCCAGCATCCAGAGCATCAATTTCGTTGTGCTTTGCAATAAATAATTACAATAATTACCTTAATTAGGCGAACTACGTTTAAAAGTACAACTTATAGTTAACTTTAGAAAATTACTGTAGCTTGTATTTTCAACTGTCAAAAACAACAACAAAAAAGAAGACGATCAGGGTATGACATAAAATTATTGGCATGCAGCTGCGTGTGTTATATTTTATATATTTGTATATATATATATACATTCAAAATGTTTAACTACGCACACATAAAAATATATAATATATTAATATACACATATGTGTAGACACTCAAATACTTATAATTAAATATAAAAAACCTGTTTTACAATTTTTTGACACCTGATGTTTACAAATGGCTTCTTAGCCTTAATAATAATCGTAAAAATATGAATTTCTTAATGAAAATGTATCGTACCAATAAAATAAATATTTGCATTCGCTGCTTTAAAATTCACAAATATATTAAAATCTTTTTTCAGATCAACGTCCCTTGTTTACTTTCTTACATACGCTTCAATATATGCACATAGAAATACTCCACAGCTGTGAACAGCTGATGACATTTGGGATGAACGATATTTCGATATTCGACACAAATTGTTATGCTACCTCCAGCAAACGTATTCATTTTTGGCATAAATGCAAAAGCTTATCGGCAAAAACGAAACAGTTTTACAACTTCTATAAAAAAAAACATATTTATTGCTATTCAATTTTTTTGACTTTTGCGTTTACAAAACTCAGACGAATAATAAATATTTTCCCATATCATATCTATAGCAATACATTCAATTCTCGAGTATATTTTACTAAGTATTTTAAAATGAACACTTATGAGAATATATATATATATGTATATATATATATGTTTTGTGTATTTAATAGTCATTAGAGTCAATGTCAAATTAAAACTAACTGAATAAAAGATTTTATATTGACTAATGTCGGAATGTAGTAAATTGAATAAAGTGCGATATATTGAAGCAGGCGATATTTACAAAAAAAAATATCGAATCTATGTAAATGGAGCATCTCTAGTTTACAATATTGATTCGTTCAAGTGAATTTGTTATGATTAAAACGAGCTAGTTTTACTAAGGAAGTGCAGTTTTATTACTTTTCTACTTACATTGACAGTTTATGAAATTTTATTTACTCGATATAAGAGTAATAAATAATTAAATAGACAATAATAATAATAATATAGGGGTGTTCCTTAAGGCAATAAGAAAGAGCTTGGCAGTCGAGAGGAATGGCGCAAGGAAGTGATCTAAACTTTAAAGGAAGAAAGAGTAAATTTCAATAAGATGAATATAAAAGATGATTTTATTTTAACATAAACATATGCGTTTTCTTCTTTATTTTGACTTTCTTTTAGCCTCTGAAAAAATTTCAGAAAATGTACACATTTTCGCCAACGATCCGTCCTTAGCGTTCTTTCGAATTCAGGTTGGTTTTTCTGTTCTATTTTAGACAAATTACAATGCATTCATTTTGCATTCCAGGAACACATTCGCAAGGTGTTGCCTGCAATCCTAGAGAAACGAACCGAAGTTCTTAGTCTACAAAGCAACTTGCAAGGGCATTGCTTCGACATGGAATATGGTGTGCAAGCACTAAAATCTATAGAAAAATCGGAAAGCACTTTTTGTAATATACAAGAAATCATGAAGACTTCAATATTTTTAAAACAACAGCTAAAGTATGAAGAAAACCGGAAGAAAACAAAAAAGGACAGCATAAAGAACTCTGTATATAAACGATTTTCAGCACACCTTGCTTTAGATCTTCCAGATTTATCAGATTTTAGCGGCGTTATGCGTGACACAACCCAACGTATGGAGACAATAATATCAACAGGTCAAGCTCGACCAGACACTTCAACGGCTCAACCTAATTCAGTTGAGTTTCAAAGGTCTCACACAACTTTACATTAGTTGCTGAATTTTTGAGCTGTGCTTATAAAATTTAAGTTTAGAAAATTAAATATTGTATGATTTGTTATTATTGTTAATCTCTAGTGTTAAGAATTGAATACCATTCTATTTAACCTCGATTTGTATATTATAATTTACTAAATTATTGTAATTATATGAAGTTTTTGGTTAACATAGCTTCCACCTTTTATAAAAACTGTATGAACTATATGTGCGCATTCAATCTTTTTGTTTTGATTTGTTTCGTACCATAGCATACTCCTTCATGGATTAATATATAGGATCTTTATGTACACTTCGTTTTCTATTCATCAGTTATTAAACTATTTGCTGAGCTGTGCCAAATTTGCAACCCCCAAGGTTTCATGGTTCTAGAATATATTTTAGAGTCAAATAATTCGTACTCCATATAATATGCATATATGTATGTATATATGTACATGGAATTCATACATACATACATATGTATATAAAAAATTCTGCTTGCCAAATTGGCGCCCAAATGCAAAAATTATATTTATAATAAAGAGCGATAATTAAATGTATAGCTATAAAAATGTGACGTTACGTGATTTCGATGTTTCACTGCTGTCCTTTTATGTTTTATTTTTCAGGAACTATTTGTTTTGAATATTGTTAAGAGAAATAAAATACATATGTCAAACTTGGAAATGAAATATACTTACACTATATAATTTTAAAATTCATTGTTGGCTGTGACTTTCACAAGGGAACGCTTAGTCCTTAATTCAATTGATATCGATATGTATTTGAGAATGTTGTAGTCGCTTTTATTGAATGTGCACATCTCTATACAACCTATTACAATGCGATATTTTCCACATCAACGTCAGTGCAAAATTCTTGTCCGTGCATTATACTTTGGATACGCAAAGATACGTATGTGTAAATTTCAGAATTAAAGCTTTTATTTCGTGGATAATTGAAATACATATATACAATTGACTAACTCATACAGATAACATTGCAAAAGTCGGCATGGCAACTAACGTTCAAAAGTCCTCAAAGCCAATTGTGGAGAAGTTTGTATATCCTGTTGTTCGCAAAGACTTGTCAATTGTGGACGACTTTCATGGCACAAAAATAATTGATGCTTACCGCTGGCTTGAAGACCCCGATTCTCCTGAAACGCAGGCATATGTTGATAGTCAAAATAATATTAGCCAGCCGTTCCTTGAAAGTTGTCCGGAGTGGAAGAAAATAAATAATAAACTAACGAAACTATGGAACTATCCAAAATATGGATGCCCGATGAAGTATGGCGATTATTATTATTATTTCATGAACACCGGTCTACAAAATCAAAGGTAACAATGCTCTTTACATAATCATATAAGCCGTGTACACATTGTAATATAATTCTTTTTGCAGTGTTATGTATCAGCAAGCTTCTTTAAATGGCGAAAGTAAAGTTTTTCTAGACCCCAACAGTTTATCTGAAGATGGTACAATTGCTCTATCGCAGAAGTCGTTTTCCGATGACGGAAAATTTATGGCTTACGGGCTTAGTGAAAGTGGATCAGATTGGATTAAGATTCGTATACGTAACGCTGAGACCGGTAAAGACTTCGACGAGGTGCTTGAAAAGGTGAAATTTTCGGAAATATCGTGGACTAAGGACAATAAGGGATTCTTTTATGGAGTATGTAAAATGTACAACATAACATATAAATGTATATATTTAATTAACATTAATATCTTCATTCAATAGAGATATCCTGACCAAGATGGCAAAACTGATGGTTCCGAGACCCAACAAAATCAAAACCAAAAGCTTTACTATCATCGCATCGGAGAAAGTCAGGCAAAAGATGTGCTAGTTGTTCAGTTCAATAATGAGCCATCATGGCGCTTGTATGCATAATAATACCTTAAATTGTAGAATACGAATACATAAATATTTAATTTATTTTTTTATTTCCATTTAGTCAATCTGTTGTCTCCGATTGTGGAAAATACTTAGTATTGGCCATCGTTAAGGACTGTCGTGATAATATAATATACTATGCCGATCTTAAGCCTGGAGAAGAAATAAAATCTGAACTGGATGTTAAAATCATTGTCGATAAATTTGAGTCAGACTACGATGTGAGTAAATACCCATTTCAAATTTGAAGATTCCTCCATTGGATCTATCATATTTCCATTTTTCTTCAACATTTCCATTTTATTGTTCCAGTATGTCACTAATGTTGGCTCCAAGGTTTATTTCCGCACAAACAAGAATGCTCCGAATTATCGTGTCATAATTATTGATTTTGAAAATCCGGCCGAGGAGAACTGGGAAACCCTTATACCTGAACATGAGAAAGACGTTCTGGATTGGGTAAAATGTGTCAATGAAGATAAGATTCTTCTTTGTTATATCAGGGACGTGAAAGTAAGCCAAATTTCATAGAAAATATTTCAAATGTACTCAAAGTAACTTTTCTGTTCTTAGACAATTTTACAAGCGAATTCACTTCGAACTGGAGAATTGATACGACAATTTGATTTAGATATTGGCACCATTGTCGGAACTTCAGGAAAAACAAAATATTCGGAAATTTTCTATAATTTTTCATCGTTTTTAAATCCAGGAACAATTTATCATTATGACTTTAAATATCCAGATCAGCCACCAAAAGTGTTTCGTGACATCAATCTGAATTTGGATGGTTTCAATCGGGATAATTACATCGTTGAGCAAATATTTTATTCAAGCAAAGATGGCACTAAGGTGCCAATGTTTATTATACGAAAGAAAGCCGATACTATACAGCCACGCCCATGTCTGCTTTACGGCTATGGCGGCTTTAATATTAGCATGCTTCCAACATTTGGACTTACGGGGTGAGTATATATATAGATACAATATATTATATATATTATGTGAATACGAGTAGTTGCATTTTTATATTCAATCGAAAAACAGTCTTATGTTTGTAGATACATTTGATGGCGTCTTGGCCTATCCTAATATCCGTGGCGGTGGAGAATATGGCGAAAAATGGCATAACGGCGGGCGCTTGCTCAACAAACAAAACGTGTTTGACGACTTTCAGTGCGCTGCCGAATATTTGATTAAAAACAATTATACCACAAAGGATCGATTGGCAATTCAGGGTGGATCCAATGGCGGTCTCCTAGTTGGTGCTTGTATTAATCAACGTCCTGATTTATTTGGAGCAGCAGTTGCTCAAGTCGGGTGAGTAAATTACAATATTAGAGCTATTTATTGAGTTGCTGCTATCCCATCACAAATAAGAGATTTTGTTTACCAACCCTAAGTAAAAGAAACTTGTAATCTACTTTTAACTGATTCAAATATTTTTTTAACAACAGTGTCATGGATATGCTGCGATTCCACAAGTTTACTATTGGCCATGCCTGGTGCTCGGACTATGGAAATCCCTCTGAGAAGGAACACTTCGATAATCTTTACAAGTTGTCACCGTTGCACAACGTCCATACACCAAATGATGCATCGAGCGAGTACCCATCTACACTGATTTTGACGGCTGATCATGATGATCGTGTCAGTCCATTGCACTCCTTAAAGTTTGCTGCTGCATTGCAAGAAGCTGTTCGCGACTCTCCATTCCAGAAAAATCCGTTGCTACTGCGCGTATACAAAAAAGCTGGGCACGGTGCTGGCAAACCAACATCTAAACGCATCGAGGAGGCAACAGATATTCTTACATTTATGTATAGAAGCCTAAACATCGATGTCATCAATTTATAATTCATCAGTATATATACCGTTATGATTTTCTTAAGAATAATCCTGTCTATTAAATTGGAAGCGATATTTAATGTTCGAATTGTTCGTCACTTTTATAATCTTTTGCATTTATCATGTAAAATACAGGAAATATATAACCCAAGATTTTTAAATTTTATACATTTAACCCCTTGATTTATATCGTAGATAGAATAAAAATATTAAAAAAAAAAATTATAAAAAAAGTGAATTTGTTTATAGGGAGATATTGAATCTTATAAATCTCTTCAGAGATATTAAAGCTTTTTAAAATATTTGTAAAGCTTTACATTAGAGATTAAACAATTTAATAAAAAGAAGTGCTTCAGGCTTATATTAGTTCATATTTATTCACTTAATTACAGCAAAAATGAATGCCTGATAAAAAAGCGCCTGCGCACTACTTCTCTTCTGGCTTGCTGAACACAAAAGTCAAGTTGCATTTGCCACAGTAATGGCGATCCTCGTGGGCAGCCATGAAGACTCCAGCACCACAGTTATCTCCGGGACACTCGCGTCTCAGGCGATGGATCTTTCCATTCTCGTCAACCTGCAACCAAATAAATAGCATTACAGCGATATATTTCCACATTTTTCAAGAAGTTTTTCAATTTGCCGATTACAAGACCTCTTCAGTCTGTAAGCAACAAATGTTAGCCTCTTTCATGAGCGGACATGTCACAAGATATATATATACTCATATTTTCATTGGGAAAACAGATAGTTTAGATTGAATTGTCACTTAAAAACTTAACAGACAAGTCAATAAGCTCAAGACCAAGACTCAAGAATTCCAAGAACAGATCATAGAATTATTCTGTTTCAGTTATAGAAGATGTACCTTGTAGTATTTAAGGACAGCTAGCTTGACCTTCTTCCTCTTGTGCTTAATTTTCTTGGGGGTAGAGTAGTTCTTCTTCTTGCGTTTCTTGGCACCACCACGAAGGCGGAGCACCAAGTGCAAGGTTGACTCTTTTTGGATGTTGTAGTCGGAAAGAGTGCGACCATCTTCCAATTGCTTGCCAGCAAAGATTAGACGCTGCTGATCTGGAGGAATTCCTTCTTTGTCCTGGATCTTGGCTTTGACATTCTCGATGGTATCCGACGGTTCGACCTCAAGAGTGATGGTCTTACCCGTTAGGGTTTTAACAAAGATCTGCATTGTGCACCTCCGAAGCCAACTGAAAAATTTCGAAGAATACACGAGTTAATGCAAGTTAAAAAATATTAATTCAAGACAATATATTTATATTTGACTTAGGGTAAAGAAAAGCAAACACATTTTTAAAGTCTGTATTTTAGCGCTATTTTTATTTTATTGACCGAATCGAAGGCAATTTCTATCCACTAACATATTAAACTAGAAGTACAGCATTTATAACTCCATCGTTCTCTGGGTTGTTCGTAACTTGCGCATATTTGCCCCAAACAACTTTTCCAGTTTGGGTTACTAAACCTAATTCAGAGATGTTTACTTCTATTACAGTACCCTTGGTTATGACGCCCAAGGAGGTAAACATTGGAGAGCTTGGATTCTTTTTAACTCCAATGATTGGTAAGTGGAAAGTTGCTTTCAGTTCTGGGTGTGTAACATGCGCCTTTTTCATACGCAATGCCATCGGTCGGATGAAGCGTTCAAATTTCGGCGGTTTGCGTGTGAAGTTTTCACCAACAAACGTAACTTTCGTCACCATGCGCTTCCAGGCCTTCCTCTTGGTTTTGCCCGTTTTTAGGACTTTGAATACTTCAGCGTCGGACTGCGCACGCACTTTTGGTATAGGTACATCCCATTTGCCAGCCTTTTCTTTACGTTTCTGTTTTATCATATTCGACAAAACCTTGGCATTCGACTGGATACCTCTGTCAAGAAGATAATGTGGTAGAGCGCCATCCTCGACTTTTTCTTCCTGTTTCTTGACCTTCTTTTCTTCATGCGCTTGAATCTTCTTCTTCATTTGAATCTTTTCATTACGCCTCTCCTTATTGAACAATTTGGCTTTAATGCCACGCAACTTTTGAGCTTTACGAGCACGCTCCTTCGGAAGACGGGCTTCCTTCTTGCGTTTGCGTTCTTCATAGTCGAGTCGTCGACCATATAATTTGCGGTGACGCTCCATATACTCATTTTGAGGCATGTTGAATTTGTCTTCTGCAGACCTGCAACGTTAAATTTATTAATAACATAAAACAATTGAGGAAAATATGGCACTGTGAATTGTCTGAACTAAATAATGTTTCATCGTATATGCAACTACATTATGTATGTATATATTACGAATACATAATTATGTATTTTCTGATAATCCACAGATGTCATATTGACCACAATCCACTCACCTTTCATTTTTTCACTTATTAAGTTATACATGAATATGAACAAATAAATGAAAAGAGCACATGCGTATATTCTAATGAAAAAGTCACAAGAATATAGCACAAACTGCTCATCTTTTACATTATTTCCGTTCGTATCTCATGCACTGCATAACATAAATATAAAAGGTAAACGCATTCACAATGTAGATACATATACACGAATGTTTCTTTTTAGCCGATAAAAGAATGCACACATAATTCTAGTTTCACAATGATGATTCCATTTGTACGTTTAGAATTCAAACTGACGTGTTTCGAACAATAATTGATAGCAAGAAACTAGATACTATTATTCTTACTTATATTTATAATGAGAATATCACTTTACTTAAGAATACTACTAAAAATACAAATTTTTAAAATTTCACCCACCTTGGTCTGGCAAAAGTACGACAGGAAAGAGTTTTACAAACGTGCTATTGACAGGAAATGAAGGCAGAAAAAATACAGAGTTGCATTGTATGGCTTTGGCAGAAGTAACTATAAAATATTCACTGTCACATGCGGACACTGTGGAATGGAACAAAAATTCCATTTATCATGATGTTAAATTGATTCTATATATAAGATGAACTGTCACAAATAGATCAATTTTAAATTCAAATATTACTTTTCTCGAGTTTGCGTTCGTTTACATTTTGTTTACATAGCAAATAAACTCCAAGAAGCAAATACAGATTATATTGCAAAATTCTTTCTAAATGTTTTATAAATGTTTTAATTCAAAACTGTTTGCGAAATCAACAATTTTCGATTACAGAAAATTATCGCAGCAGATCAAGCTGGGTTATTCGATTTCTAATTTACATATAACGTATTTCAAGCTCTAAGTTCAAAGTTTCAAACCAATGAAGTCTTTAAAAATCTGATGAACAAGTAGGCATAATAAAACATATTACTACTATTTTAAATCTATAATAAAATTGATATTTCGGCTAGATGGCAAGTCTCGCTAGCTTTTTACTGTTCTAAGCCGATGTCTTTCCAATGAATACGAAGCGATGAGGCAAAAGATTCCGTAGTCAGTAGTCACTTGGAGCAGTTTATCAGGGTAAAGCATATTGCCTCTCACCAGGCGTTCTTGTGTTATTTCGATTTGAATTTCGTATTATTATGACTAAATTAAACCAAAGTTGTTGATTTTCAAAGCAGACTTTAAGCATAGACGATCACCCAAAAGTGAAACAAACAGTGTAATTAAATAATTTAATTTTTAATTTATTTAAAAACTGTAATTGTGATATATGTATATATACTGATATAAAATGATTTAGAATTATTTTCATACAAGCAATTTCTTGATATCGTCATTTTCTGCCACTTCAACATAACTCTGGCCGTCTGGAGTTACTCCATTTTTATCTGCACCCTAGATAAAATGGAGTGAAAATATTATTAATACTTTCAAAAGCAAAGCAACAAATATTCAGTAAGTCAGTATACCTTTTCCAAAAGAAACTCCACGCATTTCGTGTGACCCTCCCAGACAGCGGCCAGAAGTGGAGTTATTCCATGTTTGTCTTTTCTCTGTTAAAAGTGAACGTTTATATTATTACAAAATGGCAAATTTTTTTTTTTACAATCATATTTTCGTATGGCACAACAATATATAAATTGAAGCTGTTTCCTCCATTTAAATATTCCTTAGGGAGCAATTCAGTACCACATCAATCCGATATGTATGTATGTATATGTATGTATGTATATGTTTATTATTTGGTATTAACAATTTTACCATTAAATGTTACTATTCGATTTGCCGTTATAATAATCTTTTCCTATAATTTATAGTACCACTATAATTGAAAGACGCATTTTCTTTATCTTTAAAAAATAATAGCATAGGGTTCCGAGACTAAACATTTTTGTATACCCTGAACCCATTTTCAATAGGAAATCAGGGTATAATGGTTTTCTTGAAATGTATGTAACAGACAGAAGGAGGCGTGGTAGACCCCACAAAGTATATATGTATATTCTTGATCAGGGCGACAAGCTGAGTTGATTTAGCCCTGTCCGTCTGTCTGTCTGTCCATCCGTCCGCCTGTCAGTATGTTTGAACGCGTCGATCTCAGAAGATATATTGTCATTGTGTGTGTGAGAGGGAGAGTAATAAAAAAGCATAGACCAGAGCTTCATATGAGGATATGTATGTTCATTTAGTTTCAGAGTTGTCAGTTTCGTACCATATTCTTTATTCGCGATCCAAAAAATACAGAGCCGAGGAAATACGAAGTTAAATGGTACCAATGCACTATGGGAAAAAAGTACGATATTTTGGCATTAATACAATTTTTTTGTTGTCTCAAATCGCTAAACTATTTTTTTCCAATTCTAAATTTATTAGATAGAATCAAAATATTTTTGTTAAATTTTTGGGGACTACCCCTATTATTTGATAATTTTACAAAGTCAGCTGATTCAGCGCTGCATTGCAATGTGAAAAAGCGCGCCAA